GAAATACGGAAAACACCAGAAGAAAATTTAAATAACCTGTCAATTACATCACCCAGAAAAAATTGCTGTGGACATTGTGGCCCGATGGCTCTGGGTTTGGTCCTCCTGGGCACAAATTGATTTAATTCAGCTCATCTCAGACTGGTAGGAGAATTAACCAAGATAATGTATGTTAAGCATCTCATCCACCCCCAGAGTCTCCTTTTTCACAACATACATTGCCAGTATCATTGTTACCTGTACGCAAATAACTCCCATATCTGTGTTATAACCCTCACTTCTCTTTTCACCTCCAGGCTCTGACCACCCCCTCCTAGCCACCATTATCTCCCACCCAAAGGGGCAGCTTGGGGTGCTCTATTATTATCCACACCATTGTCCCAGTTTGGAACCAGTTTGGTGACATTTCTGGGGTACTCTCTACCCTCCCATTTAACCCAAACTCAGAAACTTTCCCCTCACCAATCTGCCATGCTCTTGGTTATCAAAAGATTCTAAGTTCTGTTCACCATGAGTTAAAGGTGCCCTGGGTTTGATTAAGGGAGAGGTGGGGACCCTTGGAAGTTGGAATAGAACAGATGAGCAGGTTAGCTTTTTCAAATGGGATCCTAGATCCAGCTGCTAGGCAGAGAGAGAACAGGGAACCACCAAAGGTTCCCTTAGCAAAGGCTATACTCTTCCCAGCTGTGCCTCATGATGGAACACTGAGACACTGGCCAGTCTGAGAGGGTAGGAATGGTGGTCCTTTGTTTAATTACACAGGAACGGAATTTCAAAGGGGTGGGGTCAGGGGCCACCCATCTGGGATGGAGATGATCTTTGTCCCTGACAGTACTGTTCAAAGGACAAGGGCTTGCATCACTGACTTATGAGACATATGCTCCATGGCCTCACATGGGAATTGCAGATCACTGGAGACAGGAGGAACAGAAACATCCCAAAGAGAAAAGCAGGGTGGTAGGGTGGAGGAAGAAGAAAGGACTAATGGTACCTGGAATTGCTAGGGCTGGGAAATGGCCTGGAAGTGGCAAGGAAGTGGCTAGAAGTCTGCTGGGGGTTCCTCACAAGACAGGGGGCTCTAACTGTGAGGTCCTCTAGCGTCTAGACCAGGTATAATTTCTGTACTGTTCTAAGTGTGCTAGAGCAATAGAAGGGAAAGTTGGTCCCAAGTCTTGCTACAGAGGTAAATTTGTATCATCTTAATGCTTATCCAAACCAGTTCACACCTCAAGGGGAAAGTGCCACCAAGGATGCTGGCTATGGATATATGCCTTCACTCCTGCCAGTTCTAAAACTAATTTTTCAAAATGAAATTTCTTTACTCTCTGACAGCTTTTCTAACCTCAGTATGCAAGATTTCATTATCTCATAGACTCTTTCTTCCCTTCCCATCTTTTGCCTCCTCTGTCCTGTAACCCTGGCTCCCTGCTATTACCCAGGTATCTCTCCTGCTGTATGACTCCACCAGGATGAGGCAGCTTCTGTCCAAAGCCGTGGTGATTGATGATGACGATGATGATGAATATCCCTGGAGGCAGAATGTGCACAAATACTACATCCAGCTCATCCTCAGCCTCTTCCTCTTCCTCTGGTTCATTCTGGGAAATTACTGGGTCTTTTCTGTGTACCGGCCAGACTTTATTCCACCTTTTCAGCAACCTCAGGCTTACTGTGACAGAACCCTATACCTCTTTGCAGTAGGGGTCCTGGCACTCAGTCACACTGTGCTGGTCTTACTCATCCTAGGCAGCAGCTATGTCTACATGTGTTCCAAGTGGAGATTCACTGCTGACGAAGACTGACACCACGCCCTCCTGCACACACGCTCCTGTACACACATATGCACAGTTTTGGGAAACAATGGTGAATGGACAGAATGTCCTCTGAAGGCATTTCAGGAACTGCCAACGTGTACTGAGAATTCTACCAGACTTAAGAAATTCTGGCCTGCCTGGACCTGCTCTTCTCCAAGTGGGAATTTTGTACTCATAAGAGTTACCAAAGGGAAATAAGAGTTAAAAGGGATTTTTCTTTTTGAGGGAGAGATGAGGAAGGCAAAGACCAGGAGACCCCTTTCAAATCACAGTGTAATTCCAAGGATTGTAAAAAGGTTTGTTATTGCTGCTGCAGAGGTCATTCAGCTACCAAAACAGGAAGCTGAAGAAAAGAGTGTGGGTCTCCAGACAAGACAGGGCTTAGATTTTGCTGTGATGGCTTTTGTTATTAAAAAGAGAGTTCATTAACTCCAAGTCCCTTTGGGGGAAAATTAAGGGGCAGTTTCTCCCAACCCCAAATCAGAAGGGCTCGATCTAATGGGAGGGGACATCCTAAGGACAACTGTAACATCTGCCAAGGTCAAGAAAGTAGATTCCTTCCAGGGGCTCTGGCTGGCCTACTGGGCTGGCCAAGCAGATAGCAGGATTCCTTTTGTCATGGGCTCCATGTGCCATCATTGCACATCCGGTAGTTGGCCTGAAGTCTTTGTCCTTTCTGGTTATCTGTAGCACAGACTAGTAATTTGTGGATGACCCTGTGGCACAAACCGGTCTTGTATGTTTCCAGCCAGGTGCCACCTGTGCAGGTGATTAGTTTCTGACCCTAAATGTTACACAATAGCTCTTCTACTTAATGACACATCTAGTTTTGGAAATCTTTTGTAAATCAAGACATCTGGGAGTCTAGAATGATACCAAACAGCACCCATTAACATTATTCCCTCTTGCTGCTGCTGTGGTGAGCTTAAGTTACTGGAGCCTCAGTACTAAGTTAGTGTGTAGATGCTTCTTGGAGAGAGGACGACTCCTCCCATCAGGACCCCCTTGCTTTAGAATGTTCCACAGGCACTGTCATGGATATTTCGGGGGTACCCACACTGAGAGGTGCACTCTTTTTGACGGCTTTCAGAGAAAAGAAACTCAGTGCACGGAAACTTTCCACTTGAATTTGTGAGCATCTGTCACCGGGAGTCATCTTTGGTCTGGTTTTCTGCCCAGGTGGGAAGTTGATGGTGCACTCACTGTGATTTGAAAGGAGAAAAAGAGGAACATCCCTTATCCTACGCTGGTCTTTCCCAGGCTGCTTCTAATTTTGTTTTCCCTTAAGCACGTGCGCAGCTTGCAGATCCCAACTCAATGCCACAGATGCCCAATTCCACCTTCCATGTGTCCTGTGTCGCCCTCTCTGTCTCCTGCCAGAGTCAGACCGCAGGCTCTGACACCAGGGACCACTCACCCTCCTTTCCCTGAGCCATGATGCGTCAGTCCCTTAGCATGTGTTTGGACAAGCTGAAAGCCAGCAAATCATATCTCTAAGTGCCATACTGCAACCAGCACTTTTCTTAACCTCACTGATACTAACTTCTGAGCAGGGATTTGAATTCTGGCCTTAAAAAGTAAGCCATGCTCACATAGACAAGAAAATGCAGACTCAGTACTCAATTCTCTCCAGAGTTCTCCAGTTAAGAGTTGGACACTGTGTTGGGAATAACACTGAGGTTGCATCCAGATTCAATACAAAAGGGCCAAGATGGAAGAGTCACCATTCCTGGAGCTCAGGAGTCAAGGGCAGAGACAGCTGGCCCATCACTGACAGCTCTGCCAAAGAGCTTCATGGCTGGAGACTCCCGGTTCTGGAAACTGAGCAAGTGTAAGTTCTTCTACTCACATCTCAGCTCTGTCCTCACCTCACCGTGAAGCTAGGACACTTTGCTTGGAATCATAAGGGATGGAGTCTGTCCAAGGAGAGGGTATGAGTAGAGGATGCAGACTTGACTCCTTCGCCTAAGAGAGAGAGCCTATCACGGACTCATTCAAATCCAAGAGCATCAAAGACCTGATACCAGGAACCACCTACATGGTTTCCATATGAATGCTTCTGAAGCTGCTGCTGCTGCTGCTGGAGCCTTAGAAAAAGTGGAAAGAGCCTGTGGTTGGAGGTACGGCAAGGGACATCATGAGAATAAAAAACACCTGTCAAGCCCAGGCATTTAGCTTAGTGGCACCATGCCTGCCTTGCAAGAACCAGGTCCTAAGTTCAGTCCCTGGAACTGAAAAAAAAAATTGCCTGTTAGCAGATGGCAGATACGGGCTAGTATTTTGGGTACATGAGTAGCTGGATCTCATAGATCACAGAGTCCCAGTTTCTAATAGGTCTGGTTAGCACTGGAATGTTGCAAAAATCTTAATCTTGATATAAGTGATGATTTACCAAATACACTTGAAAAAGTGACAAAATGTTCCCTTTCCCAGAAATGGCTTGGGAAAAGAATTTCGCCTCTGAGAAAACACTGCAGCAAAGATAAACTGTACTTTGAAGTCATTTTCTTTATCATATTGGGGATCCTTCTAAAAACAATTCTTTGCCTGAATCTATACAAATGACTGTTGCAAGCAGTAAAATGGAACCAGTCACTGGAGTCAGCCACATCAGTAGTTCTCAAACCTCAGCAAACCATCAGCGCTATCGAAGGGTTTACTTCAAAAGCAGAATCAGTCCTCAGAGTCTGATACATGGGGCTCACTGATTCTGTTTCAGTGGACCGAAGAACCACATGTCCACAAAAGCCTCACATGAGATGTGAACCCAGGCCATCTCAGTTGTGACCAGGACACTATGATGTTAATTCTAGTACATCATGTTTCCATCTACAAAGTGTGACTGAAAGATACAGTGAATGTATATGGTGAATGTTTAAAATCTTTAAATGTATTATGGTAAAAGACACATTGCCATTAATCCCTCTCAAAAAAAAAAAACTTCAAAAACAATTTAACCTGTCATCCTTGTCACTTTCTGAAGCATTTCTGGAAGTCCTCTTTCGTGAACGTCTTTAGTTGTACTGGTGCAGCAGCCTCCACAACACCCTAAATCAATTCAAAATGTTTACTTTTCCTCATTATTTTGACTTTGAAGAAGCTCCAGAAGTTAGACAGTGCCAAGCCCAGTAAATAAGGAGGAGGAGGACGCACCACAGTGTTTTCATGAGCCTGCTTTTCAGGGGATGGCACTTGGCAGGAGCATTCAACCAGATTTTTTTTTTTTAAATCACATCTCATAAAGACACTCATGAAAGAGGGCTTCCAGAACTGCTTCAGAAAATGGCAAGAAAGGTGGAGTTAGTGTTCAAAACAAGGGGGAGTATTCTGAAGGAAATTAGTGGCAATGAGTCATTTACTTTAATACATTTATTTCATTGGTACAAGTTTGTAGCAATGATTACATTTATTGTGGAGTTAGTACATGTACATGACATTTCTCAGTTTTTTAAACCCCCTCTTCTACTCTCCCTCTCCCCACGTCCCATTTTTTAAAAATTCAAATAGTGTATATTTTTATCACAACTTGTATTTTAGTTATGAGAAGAGGCAAAGTGGTCAATCTCTATCATTTTTGTTGACTCAGTGCCTGATTTCCTAATGGGCACTTTTTAAAATGTAGATGAAATAAACTTAGTACAGTTTGTTCCTGAGATCCTCCTTAAAAAGCCTGGGAAAAAGAATCCTCGAGTGCATGGGATGCTTTGCTTACTGTTACTTTCAATGGGATTCCTGAGGGCACAGCCTATACGCTGTCATTAGTTCCCCTCAGAATATTCCCTTTTGCTTCTAATACACTTATCCTGTTGTTATTGCTGCTTTCTGAAGTAGTTCTGGAAGTCTTCTTTCAAATTTTTAGTCACAGTATCTTGACTGTCTCAGTGACGTGAACTGAGTCAAAATGTTTCCCTATATTGGTCATTTTGACTTTAAGCCACAAGTCATTTGGTGAATAAGCACACGCTGTAATATTTTTATTTAATAGAATATGCTGTAAACATGAACTGCAAACTTCTTCAGAAAGTAGCAAGAACAGAGCTGGAGATTTAGCTTAGTGGTTCTGCCACCTGTCTTGCAAGTGCAAGGACCCGAGTTCAGTCTCCGTACCATAAAAAAAAAAAGAGCAAGAACAATGGGATAAGTGTGGTTCTGAGGAAGGGGGAGTGTTTTGAGGGGGATTCAATACAATGTGGTTTTTATTGTAATTTTAAAAATCTAATCATTAACCATATTTCTTGATCATACCTGTATATATAT